TGGCCGTACAGCAGACATCTTAAAGTTGCTAAGGTTGAGAAACACTGAATTAGAGTGTCATCATAGCATCAACCAGCCATCACTGACGTAATATAGAGCGTCTCATTACTGTTACTTTGGTACAATGATGGTTGGATGACTCCAGATGTTATGAATTGCTAATGAGGAAACGACCTTTCATCCACTCTACTCAGTAACCTTGATTAGTAATGAATCAGATACAGGGTACATTTATGTGGGCTCATTCACTAAAATCTGACGAATTGGAGCCACTAAGTATAGATTCTCTGATGCATTTTTGAGAGAAATCACAGCAAAAAACAAAAAACAAAAACCCACAGAGAACAAAACAAAAAAGGTTTTCCATAGAAACTCTATGCTCACACCTGTCACATCGCTCTCCTGCAACTGCCGTCTTGCAGACACAGCGTCCAGAAATGCACTGCCCTGTGCTTCCAGATGGATCACAATCACACTGAGAGCTCCTGAGAAAATAAAATGCACTTTTAAACCTAAATTCCATATTCAACAGGGGAACTTGCAAGCATTTCTATATACAAGAAACATAATAAAACAAGACTGATCCCAGTTAGCTAGCTCAAACTACTGAGGCATAGATGGAAAATACTTCAGCACTGTATATTGTCCATTCATTAGACCAGTGGTTCTTAGCCTCAGCCGCTTTAAGATGTGTGGACTTCAACTCCCAGAATTCTGCAGCCATCATGCTGGCTGGGGAATTCTGGGAGTTGAAATCCACACATCTTAAAATCCACACATCTTAAAGTAGTTGAGGTTGAGAAACACTCCATTAAACAGACTAGACCTGCTAGCTTTACAGAGTGTGTTGTGTGGGCATGCTACTAATCACTTTCTTTCATCCCTAACTAGACATCCATTTTGCTAGGGAAAAACCAGGACATTCACATTGTTATCAGCCGATGAGAGAGAATAGTGGAACTATTTTTATGATAAAACTTAAAGTGCAATATGTTTTTCATGAACTCTAGTGCTGCAGTTGTGGGCTCTGGTTGTTATCCTATGTTGCTTTTTAAAGTCCAAAAGCTCTTTACAGTCATGGACAGTAAGAAAGTTTAAAAAGTAAGCCATGGATGTTGATGGATGTTTGAGCCTCCATTCCTTCTGCCTATAGTTTTTGAAGTGCCTTTTCAAAATAAAATCGTGAATATCGTTGTTCCTGGAGAGCTAATTCCAGTGTAGGCCTTGATCGTCCTGCACACCTTGATTTTTATTTTATTTTTTTAATGTGTCCACTCTCCTCAATATTCAAAGCAGATGCTACTTCCCAGCCACCTTCTAGTCCTCCAGCTATTTAGCCGATAGAATCCACCCCTACCAATATGTTACATGCAACGAATGTAACCCCACTTTGCTTGGCAGCAGATAGAAGCTACGATCTTCTTGATGAACTATTATGGAAGCAGGCAGAGGAAAAGAAGATTGCAGCCAGAGTAACAGATTGGAGCGTGTGTCATGCAAAGTGAGAGTGACACACATGTCACTGGGCTAAGTAAAAATGCTTGTACCGAACTGCTCTTGTTGTGACAGGTAGGGGAGGATGAGAACGTATCTCTTTCTAAATAGTACTTGCATGTCTTCAGGCCACACCTAAGAGCAAACAAAATTCTTTTCGTTTTGTATCACTTTTTCAGATGTTCTTTCACAGTTTAGTCCATGCTTGTTTTTAAATGCAGTTTCTCTCAAAATATGCATAGTTAATGCATCACGAGATGTTTGTGGAGCCAAATAACCCACTGCAATGTTCCGAGTCCTGAAAAATTGTATTGACTAGATGTTCTGATCCTCCCATCAGTGAAGGAGGTCACTTCAGTTCATCATGGAGTACACAAAGATCAAATTCCTCCAGCATTCCTAGTAATTTCACACCATCCATAAAACACAAATTGTCAAATTGTTCCTCAGCTGCAGGGTCCCCTGCTGAAAAATGAATCTGCACAAAGAAAACAGTGTCCTCTGACATTGATATACAGTAGCTTCTGAAGCATAGTGATCTTAGGCCTACTACAGTATATCTGGGCTGCAACAGGCTGAATGACCACAAGAGGGCAGTAAAGCAATAGTGAAAGCTCTACCCCTTTGCTGCCATCCAGTGGTTGTCTGGGGTTCTGCAATCCAGATGTGGTAGGTCTAAAGAGACTTTTAAAAATGGAGAAATTCAAACATATACTCTCACCAGAACCAGCAAAATTGATTAATGCAGTTTCCCATAGGCAATCTCTAGCCCTTTTAACAGATGGAATGGGAATTTTATGATTCGGTGCTTCTCCATATAAAAATGCAGAAGATCAACCAAATTTGGTTTTGTCAACTTATTGAAGCACATCAGAATTTCTGCAAAGACGCAATTATCAGTGATTGACAGTTCCATAAACCTGCAGGCACTTACTGCAGTTGCCCAACAGCTGTGCAGCCAGCCTCAGAGAAGGAATGGAAATTATGCTGGCATCGGTCACATTGATCACCTGTTACACCAGGTTTGCAGCGACATCGGCCATGGGTATCACACTGTGCACTGACAGAACCTATGAAGAAGAAATGCAGAAACACAACAGGCTGATTTCTGATTCCTGTAGGAAGCATGATTTATTCTCAACATGCTTCGGCTAGTAGACCAGCTCTGTGTGGCCCAAGTTTAGCCTAGACTTAGTTATTGTTCTGTGACTTAATAACCACACATTTGGATTATTCCAATGCAATCTTACTCATTGTTATTGTTGTTGTTATTTTAGTTCTACATTACTCTTCCTTCTAGAGTGGAAACCCAGAACAGTATACACAAGAGGCTTAAAAACAATGTTAAATAAAATGGTAAGGCAATAAACCCAAACAGAAGTAGGTTCGTTTTACAAAAACAAAAGCAATATAATGTAAAAGACAGTCTGAAGCTGAAGCTGTTGTTACAGTATTACTGAAATATCTGCGTTACAGGTATGCTCTGGGTTTCCACTCTAGGAGGAAGAGTGATATAGAACAAAAATAATAACAACGATATATAATATTCAGAAAGAACTCTGATAGCATTATTACAAAAGCCAGTTGGATGGATGGGATCTTTACATTAGATCAACCAGTAGATTATCATGATGAGTGTGTATTCTTTTCTATGTTAAAAGATAAATACCATCTGCCAATTCAATATTTTATTACGGTCACAGACCAGAATTACAAATAAAAATGCATTAAAAATGAAATAAAGCAAAAGAGGATAATATATTATAGTGAATGGTGGGATCATCGGTGGGCAAAGTCTGCCTAATTTTACAGATGGGGCACAATCTCAGCTCATATGGAACTTTTTTGTATCGGCCCTCCAAAACTGCTGTGGGA